TGATTATGTTTTTACTTATGAAGCAAGCAACCAATCTCATAGGTTAAAGTTTGAATAAACTTGAGTTAACATGTAGATGTTTATTGTAAGAACAAGTTCACTGAATATGAACATATATGAGAATGCTATATGGTAGTTCACATAGTGTTTATAGTTACATTTTCATGTGATGGTTGTATAAGTGATCTTTTAACTTGAGATTACTTATAATTTTATATGATGAATGCTATACTTTGACTTTACTTTACTTATGGTTTTAACCAAAAATGCTTTAGTCAAGTATTGTTAGGTATAACATGAGACATATGAAGATGTATAAAGTAATCAAAATGAGATTCATCACCTTATTTGATCAAGAGAGTATCTCAACTAGTCTTAGTTGAATTAACTTGAAAAATTTTTGGCCAAAGTGAAATAATATTTTAGAATTGTTTTAAAACTTACTTATGAGTTAATGTCAAGGATAAGATTTAACTTGGTTAACAAGATTTAATAGACACCAAATCATACTCAATGTTTAAATAGAGATATTATGTGATAAGAGGATATTAATTATACACAAAACCATTCATGGATAGGTTATCAAGTCATATTAACTTTTCTTTAGTAATTGGGGGTCATGACAATAAAGCTGACATTGATCATGATCTATAAATATATAATTGGCTAATTAGAGAATTGGTGATAAAGAAAAAAAGTTTGTTTAATCCATGTCAAATATTAAGGTTTACAATGTTCATGTTTATTGCCAACATACTAAAAAATCTAATGAGTCATACATATAGGACAATTGTGAAAAATTAAAATTGAAACAAATTAAGTTGAACTTAGATTGATTTTGTTATTACTAAAAATAGAGGAAATAAAAACAAGAGAAGAGTTTTCTTTGTTTGGTACATTCGACTAACATAGGGTTAATTGTGAAAATTTATATTCCAAGCTTTAAACCTAATATAGTTGTATGCATTCCTTATAAAAAAAAACATCAAGCTACCCCCTCTTGGAACAAGTAATAAGAAAAAGAAGTTTCACTCAAGAAAATACAAGAGGTCTTGAAAACGCTTACAAGTTATAGTATAGTTTTAAGTTCAACCAAACCTTAGAAAAGGTTTCTTCACAAGAGTTCATGTAGTTCACTATTAAAGGTTGAAAACTTAGGCAACTTCTTGGCTTGGAATCTATTTGAAAGATCACCGAGTTGAATCAAAAGAGTTTCAACATCTAAGGTAAGCACCTAAGCCGAAACCTATACATGCTTATGAAATTATTTGTTTGTATAAACTTATAGATTGATCTTGGCTTTAGAGAATTAATTTTTTTAAAAATTTTTATTGCTTTAACTTTGATAATGATACATAATTTCCTTCAAACTGATCTTTTTAACAAAATTTGATGTATTTAAAAAATGCTAGAATAATGAAGAAAGAGTACTCTAATACTTATATACAAGAATAAAAGTGATATATACAATTATTCGAACTATTAAGAAATATAGCTTATGAGTCATATTATGGAATTTTGAAAAGAGTAATCAAATATAGGTTACAACATGAGGTCACTATTTCAAAAAATAATTTGGGTTTATGTTAAGGGGCTCTATAATAGAGGCCATTCACGTAATGAGGCTTATATTAAAGAGTTTTCGAGTAAGAAAGAAAAATCTACATATAACATTTATCTACTTGGAGAAAGCATATAATAAAGTTTTTTGAAAGGTGCTTTGGTGTGTTTTAATGAAGAAAGGAGTTTCTTTAAAGTATATTAACATAGTTAAATATATGTATGAAAAATTTGTAACAAATGTGAGTACAGTTTGGGACGTAATTGATAACTTTCCCATTACCTTAAGAATGTATCAAGGCTTAACACTAAGTCCATTTTCTTTTGAATTAGTTATGGACAAGCTCATTAGATATATCTAAGATAAAATGCGATGGTGTATGTTATTTACCGATATTATAGTTTTAGTTGCAGAAACTAGTGATGATCTTAATGCAAAATTAGAATTATAGATGCATACATTTGACTCTCGAGGTTTTAAATTGAGTAGATTTAAAATTGAATGTATGAAATATAAGTTTAGTAATTATAAGGAAGCGAATGCTAGTTTGATTAAATTAGATGGTAAGGTAGTACCAAAGAGTAGTCATTTCGATACTTGGAATCAATCATTTAGAGTGATACTGAGATAAAAAGAGATATAAATAATATGATTCAAGTAGGATATATGAGGTGGTTAAGTGTGTCTGTATGCTGTGTGATTGTAATATACCTTTAAAGTTAAAGATGATGTTGTATAAAGCAATTGTAAGGCTTGTGTTGCTTTATGAAACTGAGTGTTAAGCTGTTAAGAAACAATATGAGAAGAAAACGAGCATAGATGAAATAAGGATGCTTAGATGGATGATTGGTAAGATTAGAAAAGACATAATCAGAAATAAAGAAATTCGAGTAAAATTAAAAATAGTCCAAATTTAGAAAAATATGAAAGATGATCATTTGAGATAGTTTGGACATGTGAAATATATACCTATCTACACACCAATTAGGAGAAATAAACTTATAAATTTATGAGAGACGAAAACTTTTAAAGATAGACAACAAAAGACGTAGATGCAAGTTATAAGAAATGATATGAGGTTTAAGGAAATAGATGAAAAAATTATTATCGATAGAAATGAGTGGTACAAAAAGATTTAAAGTTTATGACTTAACTTGATTCATTATTTAACTTTGCATATAGTTGACCTCAGAGTTATGAGAAATAAGACTTAGTTTTTATTATTGTTGTATTTAATTTATATTTATATATTATACTAATAAAATTATTATTTAATACTTTAATTTAATAAAATACTTAATTATATATAATTAAGATATAATTTATATTAAAATTTTGTTATAGAGATTATACACAATTAAAATGATTAAATTTAGGTTGAAAACGGTTTATATATAGCTAGGTTAGGATCAATTATCAAAAAGTCATAATTCGATATTGCCTAAGAATTTGAGTCAAATTGAATTATTAGAAAAAGTCAGGTCAGAATTGAGAAGTATAAACCACATCGATTTGATCTATTACGATATTTAAATTGAGATGTTTTTCTGGTACTCTATTTAGTATTTTGTAAAAAATAATAATAATAAAATTAAAAATAACAAAACAATTCATATTTAATGGATTTTAATTCATCGCTATACAAAAAAAAATTGTTTCATAAATTCAAGATCGAATTGAACATTTTTTTAAAAATAAAAGATTAAATCAAAGCAACACATAAATCTATAATACTATAAATTAAAAGTATCCCAAAAGATCTTAGGTAATAATAGCTAGCCAATATTATAAAATTACTATTTTATCCCTATTCAATATTATAAAATAATATGGGTAATTCAACCACTGCTATTGAGGATGGGTGAAAAACTGAAAATGTTAGATACAAAGCAAAAAAGTTTTGATCAGAAATTAAAAATCTTATAAAAAAAGGAAGTCACTAGTGAAATATACATTCATAACAACTACTATTCAAAAATGCTAAGAAAAGCAAAAGAAATTTGAATTTTTTAAAAATTGAACTGGAATAAAAAATTATAAAAATAAACTCAAGCTCCATAACTAAAAAAAACACAAAATCAAATTTCATTGAGAAATTAAAGAAAAAATAATCCAAAACTTATGCCCAAAATAAAGCTACTAATCATAACAAATGTATCACAAAACTCTAAAAAGTGGCAAAAAAATTACAAAAGTAAAAAAAACATATTTTCTACTTAAAAATCAAAAACCTAAAATGAAAACAGAAAGAGCAATTCTTGAATAAAAAGAAAATAGCTAAAAAAAAAGGTAAGAAAAAAAAAAAAAGAGATTTTGGAATCTTTTGAAATTTTCAAATAGAGAGACAAGAAAAGAAAAAAAATGATGATACAAAAGATGGGAAAGAAATTAAAAAAAAAGGAAAAAAGGGAAAAACAAAAAGTTGAGACAAGATAGAAGGTGGTTGAAGGGTTAGATAAAGAAGAGGGACGTGTAAAAGTAAGAAAATATTGTATTTACATCTTGAGTTTTTTAGTGTTAGGTTTAGGTTCCAAAACGAAGTAATTTTGTGTATCAAGAAAATAAAAAAATGAATCAGATCGTCAATTTAAATTTGAATCGGGGGTCGGAGTTAATTTAGAAGTTGATTAATTTAAATAGTGCTAGTCGATTGAAAATTTAACCCCAAATTTTTTTAAAAAATAAATTAACCTATTTATGAATGATGTTCTAACTCTTTTACAATTATTGTTTGAACTTAAAAATTTTGGACTAAATCTAATAACAAATTAAATATTTACTAATCTATTTCTTTTTTTTTTTGCTTATTTAATCTTTATTTCTACATGAATTAAATTTCTCAATTACTTATTGGCCAAAAGAATTATCAATTGCTTTTATAAATAAAAAGGGTAAAAATAAAAACTAAATATAATAATTTATTAAATAAATTAAATGTAAAAAACTATTTAAGAAAATTCCTTTTAATTAAAAGAATTTGACAACATAAAAAATAATATACTTTTATATCATAAATAAAAATATATGTTAAGATATATAATAAAATATAAATATTTTAAAATAATATAAATCAACTTACAAAAACATTTTTATTATCTAATTGGTAAATAATTAATTTTTATTATTTAAGTTCTATAATTTAAAAATATAATTATGTTAACATCAGTGCATATATTAAAATATACAAAAATAAAAGTTATTTAAATGAATAATTAATATTTAATATAATATAATTTATATTTATATTTTAAAATTAATTTAAAACTTTTATTAAAAAAAAAAAAAAAAAGTCTCTCAGTGAAGTGAGGTAGCAATCTAGTACTGATAATTTATGACCTCGCAATTACGCTGGTGTATTTCTCTATCAACTTTAAAGCCTAAAGCATAGTTGACACGCGTCAAAAAAAATCTAAAGAAATAATGGTGACAGCTCAACTTCAAGTGACATTAGAGTTACCCATGGACAGACACTTTTTAAGGAAGCTTTGGACAGCTCCTCATGGGCATGGCGGTGTTGCTATCTTACACTCAGCCGAAGCATTTTCATTTTATTAGCCAAAGCTTTGAAAAAGGAACTTCGTTTCTCTTTTCCAACAGTTATAAGCAAAATCCTATCTGTCAAATTCCTTAATTTATTTAAGCTAATTAATAATATAATTATTACCATAAATGAATAACCAAATTTAAGCTTTATTAGTCTGCTATAAAGGAAAAAATTAAACAAAAAAAAGAAATCTTTATTTTTGGTAAATTGATGCTTTTCTTCGTCTTTCGGTCTCTGCATCCAAATTCAAATGTAAAAGCTTTTTAGTGTTCATAACTTGTTCCTCAGCTTCCTGTACATCGTCTGTCTTTACAGGTACGTCGTCCTTTGGAGTTCCTAAGATGAGATCTCTGATCTGTTTTTTCATTTTTGTTTGTTCCAGAATTTATTTAACTGATACTACTGTTTTGAGTTATACTTGTTTAGAAAAATATATATAAGATTGAAATTAATTGAGATCTGAACTGATTCTGAGCTTTAATTCTGCTTAATTTCCTGTGTGGTGATCATTTATCGAAGTGGGTATTCTGTTTAAGGAGAGAAGTGGCTCAACTCAACTCAAGTAGTCAAGTATAACCTAACATTTTAACATAAGACTAGATCCATGGTTTTGCCGTTTACTATTACTTTGTTTCCAATAATTTTGGTCTTTCTTTTTTTTCTTTTTTGTCCTTCGGTATTCTCACCCAAATAGTCAAGTCAAGCTACTTTCTTGATTTCTAGTAGTACACTTAATGCGTATGCTTTTTCTTACTGATCACCTTTCTGTACGTTAAGATGCATACTTGACTTTTGTTCACAATGAAACTGACTTATTACTTCATAACTTGGAAATTTCGAACTTCTCCTGCAAAAAAAAAATCACTAATCCTTCTAGGTTTGGTTGGTTTTTACTAATTTGTGTCACAGGATATAGTCGTTTTTGTATAGATAGTTTTGAGAGTATGGGAGAATTTATATTTTTAAAAAAAGCTAGTTTTATCAATTGACTCTTGCCTTCGGAGGTAATATATATTATTTGTCTTATATATAATGCTTTCCATTGGCTTGTAATTTCTCTATTTCCTATTGGCATCTCCTCCTACTCCTCTGGGTATTCATGTCATTTATTAGTCAATTATTTTACCACTGATGGTGTGCTTTAATGTTTTTCTAAACTGTGATATTTTGTTGCTTGCAGAGTAACAGATGAAGCTGTATGCAATTCAAAATTGCTGTTAGTAAGAAAAATAATTGGTCAATTTAGTTTTGCTCTTCTTCTATCAAATGTATGTCTGGTTTCTCCAAGGCGTTGAGGAGTGATTAACTGATTTAATAATCCTCTATTGTTGCTTTACATATTCTTAGGTCTTTCTTTGTATTGCATTGGTGCATGTAGTTCTATCATGTAATTAATTGCCTGATTTACTTATTCTAATGTCATTCTTTAAGTTTTTGCTTTGTGCTTGAACTTTTCTGTAAGTGTTACGTTCTTCTACTGCATGAGCTACCACATTATTGATTTGCTTGGAAAAAAAATGCACTCTTTGCACATATTCATGTATCCTGTATGGTTCTAAATATGTAAGAAGTGGTTGTGGATTAGTCTAAATGGAATATCTGATTATTTATACCTTGGACTGGTGAATCTCACCTGTAGTGTGTGTGTATGTGTGTGTGTTCGGTTTTGCAATTCTTTTTTTATCTTGGACATGTAGGGTAATTAAGACTGAGAGCCTTACTCCCTGAGGAGTTAACCCATTGGTTATGCAGTAAATTCTGAGCGAAGTGACTTAATTTTTTTCTTTTTGGCTGAAGAAGTGACTTAAATTGAAATACTCTACAATCTGATATCTATATGCATAAAAATGTAAGCATTGCTTGTATGGTTATGGCTTGAATTGATATCATCTGAGTTAGTTCAAATAGGTTTTAAGAAAATGGGAATGCCGATGTAATTGCCTAAAGAAATAACTAATTTTAAATAAATATAATAAGTTATTTTCTGTTAAATATTGGTTCTAGCTTGCTCATAACATTACTGAATTACTTGCCTTTTAGGATTTTTTTTTTTAATTTTTTAAGGGGGGGTGGAGGTGTGCATTTATTATTTCACTGTGAAATGCTATTGAAAAATCCTCCAAACACTTTTCAACCAACCATAGTAAGGAAAAAAATGGAGAGGAAAAAGAAAACGAACTAATCGATGCCTTAAAGTTGGGGCCCATGCAAGTGTGCTTTTCTGAGGCAATTCATGCTAATCATGCCTATATCTTCAATATATATCTACATATATATATATATATATACACCAGCATACCTTGGGTATTTGTACCACCTGACAGCACATAGATCATGCTTTAAGTCCACTACTAAAATTGCTAGGGATAAAAGTAACATAATTGATGGTTATAAATGTTAAAATGACCGGCCCTTTGTGTTGCCTTCATGATTTGAGGTTATAGGTCCAGAGACTGGTGTTTAGTATTTCGCAACAAAATTGTACATGCCAATAGGCACACTGCAAGATGTGAAGAGCTGGAAGTCTATAAGTGTAAATTATATGAATGACAGGTTTCAATTTGAAGTGTTTATTGTCATCTGAGTTTCATCATCTGAGTTTCATTTTGAACTTGACCTTATAGCTTAGATTCTAAAGGTTGTTAGTCTTTTTAGTTTTTGAACTTTTATGTGCAGTGATCTGCTTATGTATATTTTTCTTCCCAACCTATTCATGTTTTATTTTTAGTTGTTGTCATCTATGTTCTTAATTTCTATTTATCTTAATACATTCAGAAATAAGCAGAAATGGCAGCTGAGCTGGTCAATTCTGCCACAAGTGAGAAACTGGCTGAGATGGACTGGGCAAAAAACATTGAAATTTGTGAGCTAGTTGCTCGAGATCAAAGGTAGTTTTTTTTCCTTTTATTTTTATATCAAATGAAAGTGGCCACTAAGAGTTTTGTTAAACTTGGCGCTTCAATTCATTTTGGGTTGTCTATATTCCATTAGAATTTTTATTTTCCTTGGTTTTGTTTTATGCTTTCTTTATACAGGCAAGCTAAAGATGTTGTTAAAGCAATTAAGAAACGATTGGGGAGCAAAAACCCAAATACTCAATTATATGCTGTATTGGTTAGTATAGGCTATTTTTTGCTCAATAAGAATCTGACCTTATGTTATTCTATAGCTTGTAAACGCATTAACACCTAATTTTCCAGCTATTGGAGATGTTGATGAACAATATTGGTGAAAATGTTCATAAGCTGGTGATTGATACAGGCATTCTCCCTATTCTTATGAAGATAGTGAAGAAAAAGGTGTAAATTTGTTTCATTTCTATAATTGTTTCCTTTTCACTGATTTCTTACAACTATTATTTTTTTGGCCAATCTTACAACTGTTATTGGTTTTCTTATTATTCTTTCCTTTTTTTGCAGTCAGACTTGCCTGTTCGAGAGAGAATATTTCTTCTTTTGGATGCTACACAGACATCCCTCGGTGGTACTTCTGGGAAGTTTCCTCAATACTATTCAGCATACTACGATTTGGTGGTAGGTATAGACATGAAACATTTGTAACCCCCATACTTTGAACATTTTGATGGGTTAGACAAAAAGTATCCTCTTTGGGAACCTAGGGCTGAGGTTATGAGTTGCATGCAATTTAAAAGCCCTTTTCTTCATTAAGAATAGTAATGATGTTAGTGAAAGCCATTAACAGATTCAGTTTGAATCATATGATTGCTGCACTTTATATGTTTATTGTTTATATTTTTTGAATAACAAATCTGTAGCTTAAGCATACACTTTTCATGAGACTATAGTAGTTTAATAGTATGGGTATGTTGTTAGGATTGCTGTTATTGTGATTTTTGTAGTTAATAGTGAGGGAGATGGCATCCATTATACTTCGTTTGTAAGCCAAGTTTTGCTCAACTCTTTCTCAGTAATTTACTTTTTCTAGTTGTTTTCCTCAGCAATTTACTTTCACTCATTTTGCCCCTGTTTCTTTGGTTCCATTTATTATATGTGGATTCCACTCCTAAGCCACCTCCTCAACCTACACCATAGACAAACTTCCTTTAAACGTTGATTTGGTTGTTTCTAAGTGATGTAAAAAACGTCTACCACTCTTTCACTATCTTTTACCATCTTTTTTTCTCCCCTACCAAGTTCAAAATTTGTTATTTGCCTGCTTCCTTTAAATTTCTTCAACTCTTTAGTCATCAAAATCCTAAGAAGTTGAGTCTCTTAAGTTCTGAAAAAATAGAACAACTTCAACTGCATATCTATCTATTTAATCCAAAATTCTGTTTTACATTAAATGATATGAAAACCTTTTATATTCATTTTTGTTGAATCCATCTTATGTTGATATGTTTTATGAGACATCCAGAATAGTCCATTTTCTTAACACTGTGGTTGGGTTGAGTGGCTGTATGACTGTTAAATATTGATTCTTGGAAGTTATTAAAGATAATGAAAATCATAAGAGCAGGCACTGCTGTAGAGTTGAAACAAGTTTGCAAGTAATCATTTAGGAATTATTATTACTTTTACATCTATTTTCTGAAGACATTAATTATTTTTTGTTGGCAAATGAATGGATTTGAAGCAGAGTGAGTTTGTAGAGAATCAAGTATGTGATTGTAAGGTGTATACTTGATGCTGTCATTTTGAGCATATTCATAGCTTCCTAAGATGTTTGTTGTGAAATGCCGCATGAACCAAAAGTGATATAGAAGTGTACGTCTGCTTATGTCCATTTCATGTTTGTCAAGAAATCATGCTATTCATGAGTTATCTTGTAAAAGTTCCAAGTTCTTATTATAGTTACACCATAGAAGATATTTTAGGACATGAGCAGATATTTAAATTTTCTACTTAGCTTTCTCAGGTTGTAGGGGTGAGCATTAGTCAGTTTAAACTAATTAAATCGACTGAAACCCAATAATTCAATTAAATCAGGTATTTGGGTTTTTTGTTTAAGGTTTGGTTTAGACAGTTTAGTCAATCGGTTTTGGGTTTTGAATTTTACAAACCGACTGGAAAAAACAATTTTTATAATTAACTATTTAGTAAAATACCCATTTACCCTTACCCAATAACCATAAAATACCTATTGGATAGCCTTTCACCTCCAGTCCTCTACCCTTTAGTCTCTCTTGTTCTCACAGACTCACACCTTTCTTGAATCCTGCTGCCACTCATATCATGCCCCTGTTGTCTCTCACACCTCTCATCTCTCATGGTCAGACTAAGTATACTTTCATTCTTTCGTTCAAGGGGCCTTTCGTCATTTCCTTTCTTCTTTTGCCAAGTGACCCAAGATGAAGCCAGATGTGTGCTTCTCCTCTAGTCCTTTTCCTTAAAATCTGATGTGTTATGGATTATTTTGGTGTGGGCCTTTTTTTTTTTTTGCTGATTTCTAGTATAATTTAGGAATTTTGTTTACACTTGTGGTTTTGTAGAGGATTACGCTTTGCTTATTTTGATTGATTAATAAAGGTTTGATATATAATGTCAAGTGTTTATCTTGTGAATTTTGCTTGATGGCTTTGCTGAGATAAGGAGGAAACTCAAATGATCATTGAGCTGAATAGTTTTTGATCATCATCAAGATCGACTATGAATTTTGGTTGTGGCTTTTGTAAATAGGCTTGTGGTATATGGATTGTAGGTATGCGTAACTACTATATTTGAGGAAATATGTGAGAATTGAAACCGAAAAAAACCTTGTCAGTTCAGTTTGTGTCGGTTTTTAAGCTTTTGATCGGTCAGTTAGGTTTTTATGTAGTTTAAATTGGTTAAGTCGGTTTTTGGGTTTCTACAACTGAATTAACCAAACTGACTCTTTGCTCTTCCCTACATGGTTTTGAGAAAGATGAACAGCTTGGTGCATAGAAACTGTTCCCCTAGTTTCTAGTCGGCTTTTCAGTAGGTTTTTTTCATAACTTTCAATTATCAAAAAGTGTGCCTCCTATGGATATATGCTTTATAAAGTCAGGTGCTTCATCAAATGGCAATTATAATCCAATAATATGTATTTTGATATGTTTTCCTGTCTGTAATATAAAACTCCTGCATAAGAATTTTCTATTGTTTCATTCTTGACAACACGTGTAATTGATGGTTACAGACCTATAGTTCTAGTGAATATGATGGTAACTACATATTTCTGTATTTACATTAATCCTGTCAGAGTGCTGGAGTGAAATTTCCTCAAAGGCCTCACACTACAGCATCAAATCCTCCTATTTCACTACCAGTTAAGAATAATACACTTAATGGGGAACTTGCCTCGGCTAGACATGAGGAAGTTGCACAGCAAGCAGAGCCTCAGATTTCTCCAGAGTCCAGGTAGCTTTTTTTTTTTTTTTTTTTTTTTTCTGTGTTTGTCATTTGTCTTATCTTTGACTTGTTATTCCATCGTATAAATGGGTTTTTCTTTTTCCTTTTTAGCTATATGTAGTACAGAAGGTTAAAACATGAATTTTTATCTACCTTATCTATTTTGCTCATAGCTCCCCAGATTATAGATAGAGCATAGGAATACATTTGAGCTTCTTTCTTTATTGACTAAAATGCTTTTTTCATTTTGGGGCAGTAGGATATGTTGGTTTTTTTCGGGTCATATCTGTATTAGGTTGTGTCACAATTATTCTATTGCCTGGGAAACAAAATTCCTCAAGTCTAATTTTCTTTTACAACAGCATCATTCAGAAGGCTAGCAATGCATTAGAGGTTTTAAAAGAGGTCCTTGATGCAGTTGACACTCAAAATCCTGAGGTATGGATGATATTTCCATGCCACATGCCTCATGATTGATGTATTTATTTACCCTTGGATGCATGTATGAAATTTTGACCTGCAATATGTCATTTTGACTGCTATGGTATGCTTCTTTTAGGGTGCTAAGGATGAGTTTACACTTGACCTTGTGGAACAGTGTTCATTCCAAAAGCAACGAGTGATGCATCTTGTGATGAGTTCTGAGTAAGGCTTTTTTGAAATTATGAGCACATTATATTTTGAATTCTAAGAAACTACTGACTGTTGTGTTGTACGTGTCCTTCCTGAGTAAAAGGCATGCAGGAAGTGAGAGAGAGAGAGATTTTTACTTTCTTTCAAGTACTTCTATTTGAATGTCAAGGGAACCAATGAGTACATGTGCTGGCTATATTTTTAAGATATCTTGAGGGAGAGCCTGGATATATACTAAATGGCATGCAGTTCTGTGGCAAATAAGATACCAATGATTGTTTGTGCTCATTTTGACCAACGGATATACTATCATATGCTAGTAATCCTGGCTTTTTGGAAAGATATATATATATATATATATTTTTTTTTTTTTGTGAAAGTGAAACTGCTTTCTTACAATCAAGTAAAAATTATATGATTATATGCTCATTGTCCAACTTGGAGATCATTTTGTTCTTGTCTTCAAAATGCTAGGATGCATATGGCAAATCCTTTACATTTTTTCAGTGCAGAATTCATATAGAAATCCAGTATTTTGGTATTGCCACTTAGTTGGATGCTGTGTTTTGTTTGTTCAGGGATGAAAAGGTTGTTTCTCGTGCAATTGAGTTGAATGAGCAACTCCAGAAAGTTCTTGTTAGACATGACGCTCTTCTCTCAGGCAAGACTGCTGTTTCAAGTAGGCCAACGTCAACTTTAAATCATTTTGACCAGGAAGAAGAGGAAGAAGAGGAGCCAGAACAACTTTTTAGAAGGTTTGTCTATCTTTCGAAGACTCAAACATTCCTAGAAAAGAAGTAAAGCTCCCTCTTTTCTTTTTATCAGTTCTCTTTTTGAGATGATGGTGTTTTGTTGGGTGACAAATTTTTCTACAAGCTTAAAGCTAATAGGAAAGGATCCAACTATTATATTTTAACTATGTTGCTTAGACTTGGGTAAGGTTATGTGTCAGAATGTCTGACTTGTTAATTGCCTTAAATCTAAGACAGAGGGATACCACCACAAAACAATCAAATAATAGGATACCTGTAGGATACTAGTATCAGGACTCGTTATAAATGTAAAAAAATTGAATATATTTATTTGTTTTTAAAGTGCCAAAAAAAGAGGATAGAAATGGTATTTCCTTCTTTTAAAAGGAGAAAAGAAAGAAAATTGTAATGAGCCTTTATTTTCTTTTAATCACAATTGTTTTTTCTTTCTTTCAAGTATTAATCAGTAAATGAGCTTTTCCAACTAATAAAAATGGATATTTGAGTTTGAGCTTAAAAATCTGAACAACCCTTAAAAACTTAGTAGGGCCCAGTTTGCCAAAAGGCTGCAAATCTCATTATACCCTGAGAGTTTATATTTGATGTATGGTCAGTGTATAGTGTATTTGTTTTAAAGGCTTGTAAAAATTTTATGTTTGGTCATTGATAAAATGGTATCATCTGATTCTTTAATAGTGTATAAAATCTATACACAGACCTCTGAACTCCTACTTTAAGCCCTAAATTTTGAAGATTTCTTTTTGTATTACACTCTTTGTCTGTCTTCCTCTTTCTCTCGTTTTCAGTATTCTGCAACTGTATTTTTTTGGCTGCTGCTCCTTTTTCTTATTCTTTCCAGCAACCATGACCTAAAGTCGCCCACCCATCTTCCTTATCTTCTACTCTCTCTCTCTCTCTGTTACCTTCTTCTCTTTCTTTTTGAATTTCCAGCATGCGAGCAGTTCAGTGAAAGCAAGATTTGAGAAAACAAAGTGCTAATTGATGCTAACATCATGCTACCTTTTGCTACCAGTGTGTCCTAAGAAATTTTGCTAGGTCAGAAACATATTCAATATCATGTTTAGGATTGTGTCCTGTCAAGACGGGTGTGCCTCCATTTTTAATGAGTTTGAGCAACATAATATTTAAGTTCTACCATGTCAGTTTAGATGCAATGGGATGTATGAGTAATGGTTTGCACGTGGATCCAAGTATAAAAGGAAGTATACCCTAAAGAAGGATTAAATAAGCATTGCACACAGTAGGCAACAAAACACTAGGTTCAAGATTCAAACTCAAGAGTTCTTATACAATGTTAATTTGGGTGACCAATTCTCTCAAAAGCTGAAGCTAGTCGGAAAGGACCCAACTATTCTATTCTTGTTCTAACAGATGGAATATATTGCTGTATAAAGGGATAAAGTTTTGGTACTCTGGATCTTTTATTTCTTGTTTGTTGATTGTATTGATTGACTAATTCATTCTTTCAATTGCAAAACTTTATAGGATACGAAAAGGGAAAGCATGTGCAAGACCTGAAGATGAGGAGTGCTCTAGAGAGCTGCCACACTTAGGTTTGTTTGGATCACATATTCTTGGAGAAAAAGAAAGGATAAACCGTCCACTTATCCGACCATTGTCCTTGGAACCAACAAGTGAAAACAACGCAAATCCTTCAGCTGTTGCAATTCCTCCCCCTCCTGCAAAACACATTGAGAGAGAAAGATACTTTCAGGAGAAAAAGGTTGATGGTTCTGCTGTGGCTGGTCATATGAGAGGCATGTCATTACACAGTCGTAATGCCAGCAGTTCTCATAGCGGGAGCATGGATTTCAGTGACTAACTATAGGTTTGTGTTTTCTCCATTTCTATTTCTGGAAATCTCAGTTTCTATCTTCTAAAAAATGAAGATGGATTTCCATTGCTAGTGCTGTCAGGTGTTGGTGGAAAGAATGACTGAACCTCAAGATATTTAATCATGTAAAATGTTCTTACAATCAGCCTTCTTATTTGGTGGTCATGTGGCTCGTCTTGGAGGGTGGGTGGCCGTTATTGTTATTTTCATTGAGTTGTGGCGTCTAGTTTTTAAAATCCTTTTGTTTCTGAGAGTGACTTTTAAAGACGATTTGTTTGGAGAGAGTTTTAGCACATCTTTGATGGCATGGCTATGATTTTGGACACTTCAGTGTGATGCACATTTTAAGCTTGCATACAAGCGCACAAGGTCTGCTCCCAATTTTGATGCCAAGGATCGGATATTGCCCTTCTGAGTCCCAAGGTTTCCAAGATGTTGTTAGCGACATATGTTATTCTTCATAAATTTTTAATGTCTTCCATCCAGGCTTTGACATCTAGCCAGTACAACAAATTACAAATAGAAGTAGGGTCACGTCATGCACTGTTCGATTTTCGATTTTTTGGCGTGGGTGGGGCTTTACGCGGCTTGTGGTGATGCCAAAAATATTTTAAAATTATGTGTTCTAAATTAAGTGCCAAGATTCAATTTATATGTTATTGAGAGAAGTATTAATTTTACTACTAGTTAATTTCTCGATAAAAGAGTATTTTCAGTAATAAGCATTTTAAAAAGTGGTTTGTGTAATCTAATAAAAAGTTAATTGTTAAATGATAGTTTAGTTATGTCCATTAAAAAATATGTTCTAATAGTAAATTAATTTATAAAGTTTTCAAAATATAAAATTGTATTAAGAATAATTGTACAATTTTTAACAATGTGAAAATTTTAGTTTTTTTAATAATATTATATTACTATTGTTGTTTTTTTAATTTAGTACATTTAAACTAAGCTTGTATTTATAAAATTTCTATATCCGTAACTGTTTTACAGGTGATTTTCACAAGTCCAACAGGTGACTCATTGCACATATATGATGTAATGCATGAGCATTTAATTTCGGTTGATGAGTGCTTCCAACGTTGTGTTAGGTTTGATTTGTAACGCTGTTTCGTTTATCTAAGAAAATGTAAGTTTAAATTTCCAATGGATCTTTACAAATTCACGATATAGGTTTCGACTTTTTAGGTGTTAACTAATTTGGATAAATATTAACAATATATTTTTGGTCAACGATCAAAGCTGTGGTAACATTTTTTATTTCTGAAATTTCTTTTTTTGTCATCCTTTAATCATGTATATTATATTACAAAATAGAAAGTTATTGAATAAAGTATCTTTTACGTGTATGTCTAACACTAAAAATAATTCTTGAATTCATTTATATTTTTAAAAAATCAAATTTAAAATAGGCCAAATTTTTATATGTGAAATCTGAAAATGTTTAAAATTTTATAAATTAGCACAGTTAAAATAATTTGAAAATCTTTAAAATTACTAGTACTTTAAAATTATTTTAATCAGCCATTAAATTTAATTTCTTTTATAATCTTTTTAATTTCAAAATCATGCGTATCATTTTTATCTCAATTAATATTTAATTATAATTCTTTATTATTAAGAGCTTTCAAATTGCTATATAAACTCATTTAATACACTTCACACATTCACATCATATATAAGTTAAAATTCTGCAATAGAACATAAAAGTTTTAGTAGTTTTCATTTGTCCCTAGAATAAGTAGTGTGAGTGAATGTATAAGATGATTGCGAGTAATACTATCCTAAGATTTTTTTAAAATAAATAATCAATTATTTTTATTTTATTTTCATAAATCTTATACCTTTTTAGGATCAATTTTAGCATTGAATAGCTAACGACGTGTTGTCTATTGAATCCAAAATTGATCAATCTTTGTATCGTTTATATTCTTTTTACGATAAATTTCAATTAACAGTAAATGCTAATTGGGATACAAATAATAATAAAGATTATAAAAATTTAGATATCGATTCCACCGGATTAATTAAAAATATTTTTAATTTAAGTACTTTTTATCTTCGCATCCTATCTAAAGTTAGTTCAATAGAAAGATAAATATAAAACTAAGCTAAGTAAGTTGAAGAAATTATTAAAAAATAGTAACTAAAATAAAATTTAATGAGTTAAACATGAATTAAAATGAAAACCTAATCTAAAAATTAAAAACAGCAAGTAAAAAGTTTAACAAAAATAGTAGCTAAGTGAACATAATCGAAATAACTAACTGTAACTAACTTTAACTAATTTCCACTTCTAGCTAAAGAAATTACTAGAAAAATTGTAAGAAATGAATCAAATAGCTATAAATTGTGAAATACAGTAGTTTAACTAAAATAAAAATAGAATTGAAGTGAAAATTAAGAAATAAAAATGCAAATTTCAAAGAAACATGCAAAACCGAAAATAACTTGCAAATCTGGAAAGCAGAAAATCAAACTAGAAATTTGGATCTAAATTGTGTAAATTGACATGAACATGAAATGGAAATTGCAAAAACATTTAAAGAACTATGAGAGAAACTAAATTGAAGAAGAAAAATTGAAAAGGAAGTGCAAGAATTAACAAAGAAACATGCAGAATCGAAATTGAGTTGAGCTTAGTAACATGAAGTCAAGGAAGAAAAATTAGATCTAGAAGTTTTTGGGAAGAACGAACTGGAACTAAGCTAAGACAAGCTAAATCAATACAATTACAACATGAATCAATAAAGACATTGCATCACAATGTTGAAATTCAAGCTCAATGAACTAGAATTCAAAACTAGTGTAGAATCTGGAAAAACAAAACTCTTACAAAGAAACTCATCAAAATAATTGGTAAAAACATGAATTTAATTGTAATCAAATGAGAATTAACAAGTAAACACGTAGATTTAAGAGTGTAAAGTGCAAAAATTGCAAACCAAATGTCAAGATGGAGAGAAGATCCTTGATATGCTATCATTCATTCAAAGTCCAACTCTGCCAACTGAGTTCAGTCAAAACTTTAAAGTTAGATCTGGAATTTTATGGATGGAATTTGAATGAGATTGTCTCTAGATTTTAAGATCTATGTGTTAAAAATCTAAAAAAAGAAATGGCTCAAAACGAGTAATTGAGCAAGAACCAATCAAAACATTGTAAAGAGATCAAAAACATGAATAGCCAAACAAATTTGAAGAACACGTGAATTCAATGAAATTTGAACACTAAAACTTAAAGATCTAAACTTTTATTGAAGAAATCATAAAATGCATTGAAAATTAAAGCAAGGAAAGTAAATTGTGCAAGAAAATAAAGGCAATTTTCTCTCCAAACAGCCCTATAAATGAACAAGAAGGAAACTGTTTGGAGAGAAAAGATAATAAATGCAAGGAAATGAAAAAAATGTAAAATCTAAGCTATATCCATTTTTTTGTCCACCATTCTCCTCTATTTATAGAAAATGGAATGTGCTTTAACCCCTAAAAATGCCAAAAAAAAAAAATCTAGTAACTACCCTCCTTCTAGAGTCTTCTTCCATAACATCTTTGAAATCTTTTCTTGCTTGTTTGGCTCCATTATCCTCCATTTCCTTCAAGCATATTTCTCAAGATTCTTTGAGCTCCAAGAAATCAATATTATAACCAACAGAAAGCTTCCAAATGTTCAACTTAGCAGCTTCAATTGGTCTTTTTTGAATCTCCAAGAATGGTACCAAAATGCCTTTATCACATAGCAATAGCATCCACGATCATTGTTGCATCTTTGCTCTTTCATTTTGGCTCCAATTACAAGTTTACAACAATTTTTTCTTCATTTTGCTAAAAAAATTCAGACCATTAAATGGACAAATTATGTATTATAATCCCTGGAAAAATTATGAAAAATTGCAAATTCAAAATTAGCTTCTAATAACACTAAGACACCTATTACCTTTCAAGCATTTATAAAGAAACTACAAAGGTAATAATGCACTAATGAGCTAAAAATATATTTTCAAATGAGAGATATGAGAATTAAGACTTAAAATAAAATTCCATGAAGTTCAATTAAGCTTAAAAAACATAGAAGAAAGGGTTAAGAATACTCCCATAGGAGGTAATGTTGCACAATCACACTAGTTGTGGCCTTTTAAAATTTTTGCACTAAAAATCCTCCAAAATGAGTTCAAAATCTCCAAAATTCCTCATTTTTCATATTTTCACCTACACATTGAACATATATGCATTTAGGAGTATTTTTGCTAAAATTCTCAAGGTTTAAGCCAAAATTTAAGAGAAATTGTACTAAAAATGAGTAAGGAAAGACTAAAACTTTAATGCAATCAAATGCCCAATCTATTTTGGTCAAATACTTCTCTTTTAAAATTGGCAATTTAATTTTAATGAACAAATTTTCTTTTGCTTTAAGTAGTTTGTACTTGAAACATGAAAATTATTATTTAACAATTTTGGTGCTACTAATGGCTTTATAAAAAAAAAATTTCTATGCAAAGATGAGCATAGGAAAAGTTACATTATCTTGGCATTTCAAATACAACAAACCAAGAATGTAATCTTAATTACTCAAGCTTAGAATGTCCAAGAATTGCTTAAATAATTCAGAATAAAAGATTCAATGCCTTACTCAACTCCAATAAACACATTAACAAAGATTGATAAAGATAGAAATAAATGTACTTATATAAGTTTATGGTATATAAAGTTAAAAGTTTCAATGCTTGAAGTATGCTTAAGATAAATATTTGAATATGTTTATGAGTTGAAAACTTTGATCTTGATATTTATTAAATTTTAAATGGATTTGAATCATGGATGATGAATTTATGCCTTGAAATTCTAGTAGAATCTCTTTGGTTTAATTAAGTTTAACCATTTCTTGAAAACAAGACATATCAACTTAAGTTTAAATGCTTGCAACTTTTTGAATTGAGTATATTACTATATATGATTTAAAATATAATTGAATATATGTCTATCATTGATTGAATACTTGGACTCTAACCCTTTTAAAATTCTTATTATGACATAGTGGTTTGAACCTTATTATTCATGAATATTCGTGTCTCATTAATGATATGAGGTTATAATTCTTATTGAATATTACTTTTGGATTTAATATTCTTATCAAGGTTTTAAATAGAGGTGGCATAGCAATATAGTGACCGCTATTTCGCAATAATACTACCGTTTGCCATCGTTATTTAAAAAAAAATAATGGGAGAATTTCAATCCCAATAGTAGTGATGCATTACAATCGTTTCAAAATGGTTTAACAAAAAATAACATAATAGTGGTATGTTATTCCCATTGCCCTATTTTTTAGTAAAAAAATGACATATGAGAAGCAAAAGAATTTATTTCAAAATTGACCTGAAGAAGCCAAAAAAAAAATTCATGTTTCATGTTTCTGTTGCTAGGGGATAAGGCCTGATAAGTTGCTTGGCTTGTTGTCCGATAGGTGTCTATGCTTAAGGGTCAAACTATCGATCAAGTGAAAAATGGAAGAGAGGTTGTGTACGCTTCTTGCTTGGTGTTTATCAACAAGAATTTGTTAAGGATTTATGTGTTTGCATATGAGGCAAAATGAGAGAGATGACCACGCATAAAAAAGAGAAAAAGTAGAAAAATAACAAGATAGAAAGAAAAAGAAAAATAGTGGAAGTCAATGATGTTACAGCTATGGGGGACTTAAGAGCCAAAAGGATAAGATGAGAGAAAGGAAAAGTGAA